GAGAATGCAGGCCACCAAAAAACAAACAAACAAACAAACAAACAACAACAAAAAACTACGACGTTCATTGCAGCATTCGGTCTCACGCATTTCCGAAAAGACCAAATCATCATCGTGCCGTGTCTGGAGCCGGCTTGAGATCTGATCGTGACCAAAATGAGATCGCTCTCCAAATTTGATGAGGTTTTCCTGTCGTGTCATTCCAGAAGGCACTTGTTGTTGTTGTTGGAACTGATAAAATCAATAAATACATAACACGACAGAAACTCGCCACTTGCCTTTTGGTTTGCGGGGATGAACGTACGGCGGAGTCGCTTCGAGTCGACGGGATTGACTCTGGCCTCATCTCATTGCTCCAATTGCGCAGTCCTCGGTGCACACGCCTCCGTTTACACGTTCGCACCTGCCGCCGGATATTCCATCGAGGAGAGGGGAGATGACACAGGAGCAAGGCGGGAGGAGGTAGAAATGTTTTGTGGACATTTGCCCGATGAGCCACTGGGAAAGGTCACGTCGCCGCAGGTGGTTGCGGGCGCCATTTTGCAGGAGCCCGCGCCTCACCGACCCAACGTGATATTTCTTGACGGGAAAAATCCAGCGCTTTCCAATTCCTTCTTTTTAACTCTTCTTCAAGACGGGAGGTAAATAAACAGCAAAGCGCCCATAATAGTGGTCCTTTGATGGAGCCGTCTGCTCAAGATGATCCCAAGCGCGTGTTATGATGATTGTGAAATGATGGTATTGACCACTTTGGGATGGTTTTCTTCCAGGTACCTCCATACCATTTATCTGGGCGTTCGGAGTCGTCAGAGTGCCGAGACGGAGCGCTGGCGTTACCACTGGAGGATGATCTATGAGTTTGCGGACGTGAGCATGCTGCATCTGCTCGCCACCTTTCTGGAGAGCGCGCCGCAGTTGGTGCTGCAATTGTGCATCATCATACAGACGCACAAACTTCAGGCTGTGCAAGGTAAAAAAAAAAAAAGTGCTTGAACGCTTGCACACTAGCTCTTGTATACAGCACTCTGTGCGTGCGTGTGTCTGCCAGAGACTCACAAAAAGTTTGGGATATTCGGCTTTGAGATGAAATTTCAGGACGAGCCTAAAAAAAACCTTGAGGTCAGCTTTGGACATGTCCAGGTGTTCGATGTTTCCGTAGTCTTCGCACAAGTGGCTGTTCTCTAACGAGGAGCTCCACAGCAACCTTCACAACAGGCGTCTGATCCTCGAAACGAGCGATACATGTCCCGGTTCAGTCAGAGCCGGCGTTGAAACAGTTGCCGTCCTCACGCTGTTTTGACCTCATGAGACCAAGACGACAATGCAAGGAAAGGGTCTGGGATGGAAAGGGGGTCCGCGTTGCGTCACGCGGCACCCGAGTGACCGACGCGTGTTTGTGTGTCAGGTATGACAGCGGCGGCCTCCCTGGTCTCCCTGGCCTGGGCCCTGGCCTCCTACCAGAAGGCCCTGCGAGAGTCTCGGGAGGACAAGAAGCCCATCGCCTACCTGGCTGTCATCATCCAGTTCTGCTGGCACTTCTTCACCATCGCGGCCCGGGTCATCACCTTTGCCCTCTTTGCGTCCGTGTTCCAGCTCTACTTTGGCATCTTCATCGTGCTGCACTGGTGCATCATGACCTTCTGGATTGTCCACTGCGAGACGGACTTCTGCATCAGCAAGTGGGAAGAAATTGTGTTTGACATGGTGGTGGGCATCATCTACATCTTTTCCTGGTTCAATGTGAAGGAGGGGCGGACAAGGTGAGAAAGAGGCCCGTCCGTTCAGATTCTCGAACGCGCTTTCGTTTCATCCATTAGCGGAAGCGCTTTTCTTTGACTTCTCATTTAATGGGGATACTGTATTTGTTTGTTGACCTTGTTTTGTTGCGCAGGTGTCGCCTTTTCATCTACTACCTGGTGATCCTGCTGGAGAATACGGCTCTCAGCGCATTGTGGTACATCTACCGCTCACCTCAGCCCACCGACTCCTTCGCTGTGCCGGCGCTCTGCGTCATCTTCAGTAGTTTCCTCACAGGGGTGGTTTTCCTGCTCATGTACTACGCTTTTTTCCATCCAAACGGCCCGCGTTTCGGACACTCGGCCAGCTGCCAGCGCCTCGACCTGGACGCCGGCGCTCAGTTCTCCACGTTGCCCTCCGAGGGCGGAACCAATTCCCTGCGCTCCAACCGGGGAGCCGCCGCCTCCGCCGCCACGTTGGAACGCGACGCCGGCAAATACGCGGAGCGGGATGGCTGCGCGCCGGTGTTTCAGGTCCGGCCCGCCGCGCCGTCCACGCCGTCGTCTCGCGCGGCCCGCCTCGAGGAGACGGTGGTCAAGATCGATCTCTGCCGAAACCGCTACCCGGCCTGGGAGCGCCACGTCCTCGACCGGAGTATCCGCAAGGCGCTTTTGGCCATCGACTGCTCGCCGACTCCTCCGCGGCTGCAGTATAAAGATGACGCCCTGGTGCAAGAGAGGTTGGAGTACGAAACCACGTTATAGTGCTCCCGAAGCTCCACTCGCAATCGGCCAAACCGACGGGGGCGACCGCATCTTGCCACCCCGTCTGGTCCCTCCCCCCTTCTTTCTCTGTCCGCTCTGTGACCTCTCAGCGAAAAATGGGCCCCGCTGACACGATCGGTGGAGAGGCGACGCTGGTCACGAGCTCCTCTTGCGTTTGTTTGATTTGGATTGGATTGTCTTGACTTGGGCTCGTCAGGGAATCCGTTCCTGTGTGCTATCGGAAGAGTCCATCGCACGGAGCGTCGAAAAGCTCAAAGCCTCAAAAGAGGCGGGTGCGGCTGTTTGATCCCAGGTTGGCGTGGGGTGAGGTCACCTAACTCGAGTTCAAAATCATCAGATGTCGCACGTGTATCCTGAAATCACACTTGAATTTCTGAGGAACACTTGGTTCGGAAACTTCCAACTCTCCTGTTAGAGAGTTCGGAAGCGCAGCTGTGCAGCTCACGTCCATTTGACAACCCCAGCTGTTCCCGTTGCCGCTGCCGAAGCGTTCCATTGCAAACAGCAAAGGATGCGGAGCGCCTAACGCAGGGGTGTCAAAGTCGTTTTTGTCGTGGGCCACATTCTAGTTCCAGTTTCCCTTGAGGGCCGTTATGAATTTTGGGAAACCGTATAAGTGTGTTAAACCCCTCCACGCATTACATACACAGCGCACAACAAATTGATGCATAACTAGTTTTAAAATCACAAGTCAAGAATAATGACTGTTATGATGGATTACATATGACAATTTGAAATTTTGGTTCAGACTTTAGCAAGCATCGTGGAACTTGACATGCTAGATTTGCTGTCGCGGGCCACATAAAATGATGTGGCGGGCCATATGTGGCCCCCGGGCCTTGACTTTGACGCCTGTGGCCTAACGGGTGACGGCACGGGAGTCTCTCCGCCGACTTTCATCGTTCTGGCCCACGCCGGCAGAAGGGAAACGACTTGAAGACAATGGATAACGCCAGCATTTCTTCCCAGTGGTCAAACCTGGCTGGCGGAGAACAAAAAGCGACGCAACTAACGCGCCCGTCTCCTCTCTCCAACTCGCTGCCATGAAAAAAAAAGACAAAAACCAAACCCAATCTCCCCGGCAGCTCAAGAACAGCCCCGTTCCACTTAGCTGACACCCGTTGATGTCGTGAAGGAGAACAGAAATGAGGAATGGAATGGAAACGACGGGTGCGGACAGTCCAAACGAAACGGCCAGAAAGGAGAGGAAGAGAGCGCCGGCAAGGCCAAATCGAAGCAAGCGGGATCGACAAAGCTCCTCCGGCATTTTCTCACTTTTTCGCGAGAGTCTAGTTCTGGATGTCAAGTATCGTGCTAAAGTCTTCGATCACTCCCCATGAGAGATGTCGTTTTAGCACATATGATAACGCCGGAGTACGGGGGGGGGGGGGTCCAAACTTTTTCGTTTGAGGATGAAAGGGCCATTTTCAAATTCTTCAACCCGCAAAAGCAATTGTGGATTTTTGGTCTGGTCCAATCCATTTCCTCAGCTTTCTGTTAAGGGTGTTACGGCAGATAGTGGAGGATTTGTTGGGGAGGTGGCCAACAGCCCTCTCTCTCGCAGAGCGGATCCGGCTCTGCGCTGAACAGCGGCCAAATCTCCCGCTTTCTGCACCCCCCAAAAAGTCCAAACCGGAGTCAGGTGACCATTTTTCAAACGGTTACTCGAGGATCGTTCGTGTGATGTCTTCAGCCATCGGCCATTGAGCACAAAGTGGAAGAAATGATTTGGAATGATCTTGATTCCCGGCAGGGTTTTGAAGACAAATTGTGTTTTTCTTTTCACTGTTTGTCACTCTGCAAGCCCTTCACAAATTTTCATGTAAAGTGGTTGGCTCTTTTTTTTTTTGTTGTTTTCTGGTCAAAATGATGCCTGCTGTGAATTTTTCTTTTCATCATGAATGTTTTTTTTTTTGTATCGTTAAAATACGACTATTTCTAATTCGCAAGGGCACCTCTTTTTCTGCCAGCCTCCCTTTTCACTCTGCCCCACTTCACCTTTTTTTTTTAACTAAACTTGCGGCCCACATCAAATCTCATTTTTTGTTTTTTCTTTTTTTTTGGGGCGGGCCGTCGTTAGGACACCTCTGCTGTAGTCTGCTCTAAAGTTGGCGAGTAAATTGCAGGCTAAGGAATGAAGTAAAGTGACTGCACGTAAATTACCACCATCACCACTAAAAGCTGAGGTTGTTTGTCGCTCTGCAAGCTCTTCACAAAATTTAATGGAAAGTGGTTGGCTCTTTTTTTGTTGTTGTTGTTTTCTGGTCAAAATGATGCCTGCTGTGAAAAAAGTCATTCGAACAATAAAGATGGAGGTGGCCTAAGACTTTGCACAAGAGAGCGTGCGTGCGTGCGTGCCTGAAATTGTGGTCAAGATCCAGCGTGTGCAGATCCACGCGGAGGTCCGTTGAGCTCTCGGGACTCGGCGTTGCCCCCTTTGTTGACTCGAATGGAGTGTGCTGGAATGTTTGCAATGTGCAAGGACCACGTTGGCGACAAGAAATGATTGGTGCTCCAACTTAAAAAGGCCAATGACCGATGAGGACGCCCGGAGTTTTATTTTCGCTTGACTGGCAAATAATGCAACTTCTCCTTTCTCGCCAGACGGAGCCTTGAATCTTTTCTTCCCAATTCAGTTTCGTCTTGGAAAAATCTGAAATTTTTGGTGGCTATGAGTAGACAAATTGACATTTGAAAATGTTAAGATTTGCCTTTTGAAAGGCCATGCATCCATTGGACCCGTCAAGTTGGAATCGACCGGAGAGGAGACATTGACTTTGTTTTCAACTTCAAAGTTAGAACTTCATATCATTGGAGGTCTTTGTTTTTGTTGCTTTCAAAACAGCCGCTAAAGCAATGAAACACAGACAGGTGAGCGTGTGAAATGAGCACAGCATCCCGGATGGCACAAAGGCTCTTTTTTTTTCCACTTCAGAAGCTCATTTTCGTCTCTCTTTTCGGGGAATCGGAAACCGGTCGTTGCCGGAGCGTGTCGCCGTGACGTGTCGGCCGGACACTTGTCGCAGGCGTGTGATTTGTCAGCGTTTTTGCACTGACGTCGGCGTAGCGTGGACCTCTTCTCTTGACACAGCAACAGGCCTGCTCAAACCATCATGAAGGGGAACCGCCGTCTTAGTTTGAATGAGCGGCAACACCAAGTTTAGATCATTCAAAACACAAATGATGATGGAAATCAACTTCTTTAACCCGTCCCACACTTGTATGAGCGTCTGTTCAAGTCTCTGCGTAGACAATTCGATGACACCGCATATCGTGAATATGGCAGGTGATCAATTTCGAGCTTAACTGTAAATAAACATATGCAAAATGTACATGTTGAATTAAAAATAGAACATTTTTCTCTCGAGTTCTGACTGTGAAGAGTGTCGTTTGAGGTTGGACGCCAATAGGATGGCTGTGACTATGACAATATAAAGTACTTCAGAGAATATGTGTGGTGTATTTTCAAAAAAAAGAGACTTCGGTTTCAGAAAAAAGGTCAGTTGCATTGTGTCCCAAGTACTAAAATGTGGGGGGAATGAAATGTGTTCAATGGATGAAGAATACTTTTTTTTTAAATCCACAATGACAAAGATTTTTTTTTAAATTGTACATGTGGAGTTTCTTTTTTTTTGTTTGTTTTGATTTGAATCCCATGCAACACAAACTACCAAAATTCATTTAATAAAGTACACTGTGGTCATGTGGATGGTCATTTTGGCTCCTATACTGTAGATGCTATTCTGCATTCCTGTTTTACAAAGTGAGGTGTTTTTTTCCCCCTTAACTGTATCACACCTTTATAATAATTAACATTTCAATGACTTGCCCTTTTCACTGAAAGTACATAATAATGCAACATGTTTTTGCTAAAGGGTATATGAAACCACAGCTGCGATCCTATGAATGAGTATAACGTGTCGAATTGAGGGGTGATACAGCACAATATACAAAGAGATAATACCAATAGGAGTACAATATCACGCAAAACAATGGAACTCTCTCGTCAATACAAACGCAGACTGGGTGGTAGCCACGTAAGCGCGCGTGGCAGAGACAAATCCCTAAATCCTTCATTTAAAAAAAATATATAAAAGTACAAGTTAGGCAGGAAACCAGACAAGAACCTTCATGCTTCGGATTCTCATGAAGCGACAAAAACATCGATGTACTCACAGGTCAATTCCAATTTTGTATTGGGTCAGGCTTCCTATTAAATGGTTTCATGTTGCGGTATTTCTTTCAAGCACCATAATTATGATGAGAATGGTTATGACAAGTAATATGAACCATGGCTTCAAATTTAGGATCAGCAGCATTCACTCCGACACAACGCTTGAAAATAGATGTTCTGTTTCCAAACTTGATATATAAATCGACGTTAAAGTGGCTGTATATTTATTATAATGCGAGTGGCGCATATATCTAATCACAGACATGAGAAAACATCAAAAGGCAACCCGAACCATATCATTCACAAAAAAAGCTATTACTAATGTAATAATAAGTCAAACTTATGATCTCGACGATGGCGGCGTATTGGACGTCGAACAAAAGGCGACTGTCACTGCAGAACAGCCAGCACCTGTCTTCTGCTCCAAAACAACAGAGGGCAGCCCTCTTATATGTGGGTCGATTAATACGAAGAGAAAGAAGAAGAAGACGACGACGCGGAGGAGGACGACGACGACGACGAAGAAGAAGACGACGACGACGACGAAGAAGAAGACGACGAAGAAGAAGCAGCAGTACTCCTACCGGAAATGCAAAAGCAGCCTTATACGGAAAATAAACCACCAGCCGAGTTACTTTTCGAACAAAAACTGGCGTTTTGGACGTCAACTTTTCTTCAATTCAGCTGACAAGATGTTTAACAGACAAACGAGTCTCTGGATGGGTGATGTATGCTTGAAGTCCCTTCACTTTTGTAGCGTTCTCTTTGTCCTAATTTTAGTTAGTTCCGAGCGCGACGCGTGCGAAGCTTTCGTTCTCGTTTCGTTTACTGTCCGCAATCTTGTTGACTTGTCATTGTGTTCGCCGTGAACGCGACCGATCACTTGAACCCGTTTGTAGGATATCTTTTCACCTTCTGTTTCGAGCTGTTAGACGTGGCGATAGATTGGCCGTTGTGTATTTCTCACGCTTGCCCGAATGCAAACGTCAGTATCTTGACTCGATCCGACATGATGCGTCACTTGCCCGCAGTGCTGCCACGCTTTGTAGCGTTATCCCCCCCCCCTCCAAAAAAAAAACAAAAAACAAATAGTAATGTGCATGATGTAGGGACTTGTTGTGCGATGAATGGATCTATTGTACATGTTCTTTCCCCCGTTTGTTTAGTTGGACCCATACATGGATGAGAACTTCGTCAAACAGGCCTTTAGTGCTATGGGCGAAGCACCGCTTGGAGTCAAAATAATCACTCACAAGATAACAGGGTAAGTTACCTTCAAAGATTCGTCTCGCGGTCTACCTTATGGCAGCGGTTCTCCATTTTTTACGTCGTGTTACCAACAAAAAGTACCACCATCACGATTAATAGTAAGCGTCCATCAACAACGACGCTGAACCTATATTCCTAAAAGAAGTCATTGGAACATTATGAACAGGTTGAACATAAATTCCTCGATTCACTATAGGATTATTATTATTATTATTATTTTTAAACTTAAGTACCGATTCGCTGGACACGTATTTTGCTGAGAAAATTGTAATGAAATTGTACTTGCTGAAATGGTAAAAAGCAAATAGTTCCTTATGCAAATGCATTGTACTTAAGTGAAATAAACTGTGCCGAGGCAGTGATCCTTTCAAGTCCCAACCGTATACAGTACGTACCATACTGGCCTGTGGTGTTGTGGTGTTGCTGCAGCAGCTTTGTCCCCAGAGATCTGTTGAAGTCGAGATGTGCACTGACCACCTCCGCGGGACGTCATCGATATTGCCTCGAAGAGGTGACATTTTCTTTCAGCGTGTCCCTCACTTTTTTTATTGTCCTGTTGTGCAGGGGTTCTGCGGGATACTGCTTTGTGGAGCTGGCAGACGAAGCAAGCGTTGACCGCTGCGTTCAAAGACTTAACGGAAAATTGGTTCCTGGCTCAAACCCGGTATGGCCTCATTACGAGTTGCGTAATGTCATCAATTCTCCATTCCATATGTGAATACGACTCACCTTTCCTTTTTCTTCAGTGGTATTCTGTATTTTAATAACGTCACGCTATCATCACAGCGAGTGGATAGTGGAGCTCAATTAGCAAACGTTCTCCATTTGTCGTGGTCGAAGCAAAATGCTTGTTTCTAAGTTCACGCGCTGTGGTTTTTCTTCACAAAAAAAAAACAAAACCAAAAAAAGAGGCTTGATTTCAGCGTTGACCCCGTAGTCCAATATTAAGTGTATTTTCCCTTTTCTGCAGGCAACACGTGTGGCATGTATGCATTTAGATGCGTTGGCATGCGTGAGAACGATTTGACCGTGAATTAAGTGGCATCCGAGGAAACGTAGTCTAGGGATGCATGAAAGTACCGCGACCAAATTACTGTCGGCCCTGCGAGCCGGCCAAGTGGCCGGGCTCTGCCGTCCATGCTGGCCCGTACCCGCTGCCGAGAGGCGGCTCGTACGTGCGTGAACTTGTGTTTGAAGCTGGTGATTAAAGTCTCTGGTAGCAACTAACTGAGGAATGGGCTAAAGGCTGGTCTAGGTGGCGGAGGTATGTAAACACAAATAACCTGAATGACATCTCTTTTTATTTCCCAGCAATATCAGTGCTATACTACAGGACTTGGCCGAGATTGTGGTTGTCTTAGTGTGTCTTCTCTTTTCCCATCCGCAGCCTCGAAAGTTTAAGCTAAACTTTGCCACCTATGGGAAACGACAGGAGGCGGGGTAAGTTGGAGAAATCGCACCGCTCGTGTCCTTCTCGTCTCTTTTGCCGGACTCGCCACCGAGAATAGGTGGAGACCACTTCACGTGTATCTTTGGCATTCACCAAACGGTCTGAAATCTGTCAGAGTGGCACCAGAGACATGGAAAGCACGCAGGCCATCTGAGGATCGAGATTTGGCGGCATTCAATGAGCCGCCATCCCGTTTTCTGCAATCACACGAGTATGCAAAGAGGGTCGTCGGAATCATTTTCAATGCACGTAAAATGCCGAGTCCTTGGCGGGGACGAGAATGCCCTGAGCCGTACATCGATACATAACCGAGGGGAAGACTTTGATTCTGTCCGTTCATCTCCAAGGCCGGAGTTCTCAGTCTTTGTGGGCGACTTGTCCTCTGAGGTGGACGACAGCCAGCTCCACCAAGTCTTTAAGAGCTTCCCCTCCTGCAAGGGGGCCAAAGTCGTCACCGACCAATGTGGCTATTCCAGGTATGTCAGCTCCCGCGGTAGGAGCAACTCCAGCTGAATGAAATCTCGCCTCGAATATATGCTGTATACCGGTGGTTCTCAAAGCTTTGGACACCAAGGGCCAGCCCCAAAATCTTGGACCACCACCGTGGCAGTTTTTTCCCCCGGGAGTCGTTCCCAGATCAGAATTGAAATGTGCAAAACCGTCACATCAATTTGTACAAGATAGCAAGACGTCACGGTTTCGTCGCAAAGGCCATTTGCTTTCTCCAAATTGCTCGAACAGCTCTCAAAACGAAATAAATGCACGTGTCGCTGAACACGTCGGCGACATTCCGGCCGCAAGTCTTTCAGAATCGGATTTGTTGGCCCGGTATGCAAGAAACACACAAGGAATTTACTTCTCGGTTACAACCCCTTCAGAGGAAAAAAGACGACAGGGTTATTAATCAGCAACGTGGGGGAGACGGAACGAGAAGCCCGGTGGGTCGCTCACATCAGATCTGGAAGGAAAACCATCAGGAAGACGCGACCCGATCGATTCCAAGCCAGAGAAAAAAAATAGCAGATGATGAAATGAGCCCCTACTCGTGGGAGCTCCGATAAGCACCGCGCCACGTGACCTGACGTCTTTTTGGTTTTGTCACCCGACGTCGTATTTTCTGGACATGTGGCGTCGGCATTCGAAGGCGCTTTTAATTCTTGCAATGTGAGCAACGTACGTAAAAAGACGGGATTGAACCCAAAAGCCAAACTGGACATCATGCCCTGTAGTCTGAACGTCGCCCACCGTGATGCAGACGGGGAAAGACGGGAGTGACTAGTATGCGGCACCAGACGGGCGGGGGGAGTCCAAAAGTGAACACGGGACGATATCCTTGCGCGTGCCACAACGTAGGAATGACAGTGCAGTCTGCCCACTTCCTTTGGGCCACACTTTGTTCCATTTCTTCTTCGATTTCCTTTTGACGTTCGGGTAAGCCGTTTTCAACTAAAAAGAAAAAAGGTTTCCAAGGGGAAGTTTGGACCTCTTTTGCCGCCGTCAGAGATTCACTCTCTCTGTCTCTGACTCGCCCGGAGAATTTCAAATGAGGCTCGGTCCCGTAAAATCCGAACTCTCAGAGCTGACGGTGTGGCAATATTCCAGGCACGTGTGCCTCGCTCTGAGAATCACCGGTGTACTTGGATGTGATCGATCAGTATGATAACAAAGCGTGTAATCGTAATTTGTTTGTTTTTTTGTTTGTTTGTTTCTGTCGTCTAGTAGCTTCTGGATAACAACACAAGGGACCTCGGTCACTTGCGACATCCATTTTTTACTCAAAGCCTGAAGAACTGTTTTCTTGTCATGCTAAAACT